AGAGAGAGAAAAGAGAGAAAAGAGAGAAAAGAGAGAAAAGAGAGAAAAGAGAGAAGAGAGAGAAGAGAGAGAAGAGAGAGAAGAGAGAGAGAGAGAGAGAGAGAGAGAGAGAGAGAGAGAGAGAGAGAGAGAGAGAGAGAGAGAGAGAGAGAGAGAGAGAGAGAGAGAGAGAGAGAGGGGGGGGGGGGGTTGCGGGGGATCGATCGATGAGGCGTATGTGTTATGAGGTTACAGACCCTGGTAACAAGGGTGCCTGCTCCCCCCCCCCCCACCCACTATCCCATACTCCTTAAGTCTTCACAACAAAAGCCGTGTGGTCGTGACCTTATTAACTAGGATGTGTGTTGTATATTGTATAATATGTTGTATAATATATGTAAAGGGGACAAAAGAACTCCCAGAACCCGCTCCAGGTATGATCCAGGTATACATAAGGTGTGTGACGTTATAATTGTATATATACCTTAGAAAAGTATGCACCACCTACGTCACCGCTGCTAATAAACAAACCAAACTTAACCCTACCTATTGTCATCCAACCTAAGGAAAATAAAAGGGATAATATGTTGTGCTATATATGGTGTGACGAGATGTGTGACGTCACTATGACGTGATAATGTTCATACATGTTCAGATTTTGGACCCTACTGTTGCCGTCAGCAGTGTACCAGCTGTGAACACCAACCATTATTGTCCCAAGCGTAATGCTACTGCCATCTAGTGCACAGCTTCTCCTCCTAAAAGCTGTGCACCAGATGGCATAACAGCTATGCTTATAAGACATAATATAAGACGCTCATTACGTTTTATGAGCGTTTGGCGCGCAAATTCCGGTAGCATGGAGCGGGGGCGGGTGGCGGGAACTCAGCTTGAATCTCTTCAACAACGGCCTTGATTTTGAATATTGCGCTTTCCACCTGACCGTGAAAGGAGTTTTGTTTTTAGTGTTTAATGTATTTTCTGCAATAGGCGGCACCATACATTTATTCAGTGTTAACCAATAGACGCTATCGTACATTTATTCAGTGTTAACTAATAGCCACTACCGTACATTTATTCAGTGTTATCCAATAGCCACTACAGACTGTAGTGAGTTATTGAACGTTTAATCACGGGTGATTGATGTGCTTTTAATCTAAAGAAGTTAAACGTTAGTTTTATAACTGCCGTTGTGAAAGATGGTTTCCGATACCAATTTCGCTTTTGTGCGTTGAATGAAGCGGCAGCGATGATATAATTATAGGGTCCTGTGGTACAGCAGTCTACGTCCTCGACCCGTAATCAAAGATCTCGCGTTACAACAAATCCACAAGGGCCTTGATGAGGGTTCGAAGCACACGCACGGGATGTTCCCAGACGCGCCTTAGTCAACTGTACCACCACATGGTCAAAAGAATTGCAACTTGTCCATGTAGAAGCAGCTCCTATTGGTCCATGCGAGGCAGCTCCTATTGGTCCATGCGAGGCAGCTACTATTGGTCCATGCGAGGCAGCTCCTATTGGTCCATGTAGAAGCAGCTCTTATTGGTCCATGCGAGGCAGTTCCTATTGGTTCATGTAGAAGCAGCTCCTATTGGTCCATGCGAGGCAGTTCCTATTGGTTCATGTCGAAGCAGCTCCTATTGGTCCATGCGAGGCAGCTCCTATTGGTTCATGTAGAAGCAGCTCCTATTGGTCCATGCGAGGCAGCTCCTATTGGTCCATGTAGAAGCAGCTCCTATTGGCCTATGCGAGGGAGCTCCTATTGGTCCATGTAGAAGCAGCTCCTATTGGCCTATGCGAGGCAGCTCCTATTGGTCCATGTAGAAGCAGCTCCTATTGGCCTATGCGAGGCAGCTCCTATTGGTCCATGTAGAAGCAGCTCCTATTGGCCTATGCGAGGGAGCTCCTATTGAAACATGTGAAGGAGTTAGTCATATTGACCCGTGTAAGGTAGCTCCTATGTTGGACCATATTCTAAACTATGCTGGAAGCTTTCCAACGAGTTTGTTTCTCTGATATTATAAGGTAATTTGTTCCGTAGATCTTCAACCCTATTTCCTAACCACTGCTTGTATATTTATTTCTTAAATCTAAACTAATCGGCTACTTTTGCTTTCTTTTCATAGGTTTACAGCCCTATACTTGTCATTACTGAATTGCATTTACCAATTTTCAGTCCATTTTGGGTCTATTTAGGTGTAGAGAATGTCACAACAACGTGGGTGGCCATGTGTGTGTAATTACCTAAGTGTAATTACAGGATGAGAGTTACCCTCGGTTTGTGTGTACTCACCTAATTGTGCTTGCGGGGGTTGAGCTCTGGCTCTTTGGTCCCGCCTCTCAACCGTCAATCAACTGGTGTACAGATTCCTGAGCCTATCGGGCTCTATCATATCTACACTTGAAACTGTGTATGGAGTCAGCCTCCACCACATCACTTCCTAATGCATTCCATCTGTCAACCACTCTGACACTAAAAAAGTTCTTTAAAGCTGTGTGTGTGTGTGTGTGTGTGTGTGTGTGTGTGTGTGTGTGTGTGTGTGTGTGTGTGTGTGTGTGTGTGTGTGTGTGTGTGTGTGTGTGTGTGTTGTGTGTGTGTGTGTGTGTGTGTGCTTACCTAATTGTGCTTGCGGGGGTTGAGCTCTGGCTTTTTGGTCCCGCCTCTCAACCGTCAATCAACAGGTGTACAGGTTCCTGAGCCTATTGGGCTCTATCATATCTACACTTGAATCTGTGTATGGTGTGTGTGTGTGTGAGTGAGAGAGGTGGGGGGGGGGTCGCCTAGACAACCTGGCAACCACATGCCACGCCACACTTGCCACTCCACATGCCACGCCACACTTGCCACTCAGCGATACAGACTCACCGGGAAGTTCGCTTTCAACCAACTCTTTTTGCCTAAACAGCGCTAAAGTGAAAAATTGGTGCCTCTTGTCCTATCAATTCTGGGGTTATTAGATTGATTTTGGTTGTATTTCACCCTAAGTAACGCTGTATAGGTAATATTTCATTTGTTTAAATTGATATCAAGGTCCTAACGGAAATATTGCCCGAAACGGCTTTGCGTAATAATGGCTTCATTAGTATGCATTAAGTCCTGCCCCTATAATTGTATTCTTATGTTCTTTGTACGCACATTCCTCTGAATACAAATAATAATTATTATAACATGGCCCTTCACTTTGAATCTTAAGAGAAATAACTCACTATAGTGACCTTCCAACGTTCATATACAATCCGAAATGGATGGCGGCTTGGATGAGGATTTTCGTTGGGTGAAAGGAGCCGGATGGAAGTGGTGCTTTACGAGAAAGTGTTGTGGACGGTCGACTTTAGGGCAGTGACCATGGGTGGTGTGGGAGCAGCTTTAAGCCAAGGTCGTGTGAGTGTGTGTGTGTGTTGAGGCTACGCTTACCGCCAGGGTTGGCACTCCTGTCCTCCCCAGGGTTACGGTGGCTGCATGCTTCATCCAGTTCCCATCTACCCTCTCTCTCTCACTACCCTATGCTGCCTCCTGCCCATATGCTATACCCATCTACCCTCTCTCTCACTACCCTATGCTGCCTCCTGCCCATATGCTATACCCATCTACCCTCTCTCTCACTACCCTATGCTGCCTCCTGCCCATATGCTATACCCATCTACCCTCTCTCTCACTACCCTATGCTGCCTCCTGCCCATATGCTATACCCATCTTGGCCCCTTCCCTTCCGTTCTACTCTGCCATCTTGCCCCTTCCTTCCTTCCTTCCCTCCCTACTTTGCATTCCTGCTCCTTCCCTCTCATTTGGATCATTTGGAGAAATTGACCGGATCAACATCCTCCAAATGGTTCAGTATTTTAAAGGTTTGGATGAGATGCGCCCTGTCATGCCCAGTCTGCAGTATTGTTAGCCCTGTGGCCCTCAACCGTTCCTGATACGTGAGATGACTAAGCTCTGGTATGATTTGTGTTGCATCTTCTCCAGATCACCTATGTCTTTCTGAAGATGAGGTCTCCCTGCCCTGGATGCAATAATCTAGGTGGAGGCGCACCAGAGACCTATACACTGAGTAGTCGTTCTTATACTATAAGAACGCTATTGTGATTTAGAGTAGTCAGTAAGAGTAGTCGTTCTTATACTATAAGAACGCTATTGTGATTTAGAGTAGTCAGTAAGAGTAGTCGTTCTTATACTATAAGAACGACTATAAGAAGTCGTTCTTATACTATAAGAACGACTTTCTTTTCTTTCTTTTCGACTTTACTTTCTTTTCCTTGAGGCTACGTTTGATTATTCCCAGAGTTTGGTTCGCTTTCCTTATTGCCGCTCCCACTTGTTGTACAACTTTTAGTGAATGATGAATTCTGTCTCCAAGGTCCTTTTCTTCATGTATGTGTTGTAAGGTAGTGCTGTCAGTTTGGTGGTTGTGACGTGGACTGTTGCGCCCCACATGCAAGGTTTTGCATTTCACACAGAAATCACAATAGCTTGATGATGGATTTGTTGCATTTATCGACATTAAAAAGAAGTTCCCAGCATGGAACATAGACGTTCCCAACGTGTGGAATGACTTTCCATTTCCTAAATGCAATCAAATGCTGCACTTCTCTTAATACATTTTAAAAAAAGGTCAAATAAAGGCTTACTTAAATCATCAGGGGCAAATGGGGGGACCATTGACAAGTCGCAGGCTTCCTGGTCTCTTCGGATCCACTAGTGTGTTAGTGGCCCCTCAGGTAAATTAAAAACTTGTGTTATCAATGCAGTTGTTATATATTCAGCTACTCGGAACAAGTTCCAAGTAGCACGGGCTATGGTGAGCCCATAGTGGACTTACCTGGCACAGGAGCGGGGCAAGTAGCACGGGCTATGGTGAGCCCGTAGTGGACTTACCTGGCACAGGAGCGGGGCAAGTAGCACGGGCTATAGTGAGCCCGTAGTGGACTTACCTGGCACAGAAGCGGGGCTGTAACTGATCAATGCAGTACATAGATACATGTATATACAGTATTAATGTTGTATTTTATTGTGACAGGAAAGAGTGGTGGGAAGGATGGAGAGGAGAAGAAGAAGGGCGGGGAGTGGGAGCAATATAACGCAGGGGCGGCCTTCCTGGGACCAACCCTCTGGGACAAGACGCTCTCCTACGACTCCGATCTTAAGGTTTCGGTAAGTTTATATTAGAATATAAGAACAAAGGTAACTGCAGAGGGCCAATTGGCCCATACGAGGCAGCTCCTATTCATAACCACCCAATCCCACTCATATGCATTAACAATGCAACTAATATTCCAACAATTGGGTGGAGAAAATGGATTCCTGAACTATTTTTTATTTTCTTATATTACATACATAATAAAAAAGGGGGGTGGTAGGAGAAGCGAACACTCATACGTATTCAGAGTTAAATGACAAGTTTTTCTCTGAATGCTCTGTGTTCCCTTCTTTGAGGCTGTGGGTCCCTATAATTGCACCAGAGGTGGTAACCCCCCTATACATAATATATATTTACAGTGTGTGTGTGTGTGTGTGTGTGTAAATCTCATAAGAATAAAGGTAACGGCAGAGGGCCTATTGGCCCATACGAGGCAGAAGTTATGGTTTGCTGAGAAAGGAGTGGGAAGTAACCAATGTATTTTTTTTTTTTTGTGAAGTACAGTACTGTACATTAATATTTTTTTAAATTATAACCTTCACTTCAGTTTGCTTGAATTAAGTTTACATGGAATGTCTCTAGAGTGCATTTGTGTACAATTTAATGTTTTTTCAAAAAACCCTACTTTGCTATCATAAATAATTAAATAATTTCTGTGATAGCTCTCTGGGTGGTGCCATTTGGCAATTCCACTCCTGAGAGGCACACTTCATGGTAATCTGATACCTCCTATCTCCTGCCTGCCTGCCTGCCTCCCTCTCTCCATTCCTCTTATCTGTTCACTCCTCCTCCATTCTTTTCCCCTTCCTCCTCTTCCTTCTCTTCTGTTTTTCCATTACCACTTGTTCTCATGATTTGCCACTCCATAAAAAATGCAGGTGTTTTGCTTAACCAGAAACATGTGAACCCAAACAGCCTACCTAGCCTATCGAGGCTGATACGTAAAAAAAACTGAACATTATGGTGCTTTAATTTGTACTAATACAATGCATGTTTAATGGATTAGTAAATTATGAAAAGAAAGGGAACATTAGATGAGAGGACGGGTTGGTACACCATAGTCATCACCACCTTACTATCGCTTCCACTCAGCACTACCACTATCTTTCCACTATCTACTATCATCACCACCAACATCACTATGGTTGTAACCACTTCAACCGTCACTATTACTACCTCTCTTATTACTTATCATCGCCACTGTCATTATTGTTACTACCACTACTTCTCTGGTCCACCATCACCACCTTTCCTCACCTGGTTATACTACCTAGTGGGCTACCTAGTGATCCCCTGGTGGTGAAGGATTTAGTTTGTTGCTTAGTTACAGTAGACTGTTACTTCAGTTTCAGATTTGCTATCGTAAATATTCTAAAGCTCATTTGATAGGGGTGATGAGATGTTTGATGCGTTCCTTAGTTTTATACGCAAGATAACATCTCTTTCAAAGCACCTAACAGTGCACTAACAACAAGACTGTGTGTACCCAGTGTGCAAGTTCAAATCCTCCTCAAGGCTCCTACAAATTTTCTCATTGATACATCACATTTAATTAGATTTATTTATGAATATTTATCATTTATATTGTAAGATATGCCTGGAATCAGACTGAGGATAACTACTGTACCTCAATCAGCTATGATCGAAACATCTCAAGACATACAGTACTGTATAACAGTATTTTCTATTAGGAATGGTGTCCTCAGTAAACTATAACATTTATTTATAATATTGTTTAAAAAGCATTATGCCTTGTAAATTATATTTGAGCTCGTATCTTTTATTCATATTTTTGTTTTGTTTTCTCAGCTGGAATATATGGACCTTGATGAGTTTCTGAATGAAAATGGTATTCCTGCTGAGGAAAATGTTAAAGCCAGTGTAGGAAACTGTAATGGGAGCAGCAATGAAAATGCTGATAATCCAAACAGCAGCATAAACAACAGCAGCAGCAGCAGTAGTAACAACAGCAGCAGCAGCAACACCAGCAGTAATAGTAGAAATAGTAACAACAACAGTAACAGCCTTTCTCCGGAGGTGCCATCCTCTCCCGAGAACCCTCATATGGGCTCGGGTATGGGTGTGGTACCCCAGGTACCATCAGGCTTGAGCGGTGCTGCACCTGCTGCTCCCATCATTGTGGCTCCCCCCGCCCTCTCTCCTCAAGACTACTCCGGGGATGGTTATTCTTCCTCCCCAGAGTCTCCTGACCCACTCTCTCCGTCCCTTCAGGTCCACGAACCAGGTAAATATGGCCACCTCGCTAGCCACTTCTCATCTTTTCTCCTTTGCTCTGCTGATCATAATCATTAAATCATTAAATTCTTTTCTTTGAAGTCTCAAATGCAAAGTTGCATGATACTAGTACAAACACAAGAGCTTTAATGAAAATTTGCATAGGCTGAAGGTTCGCATGGCTCTGTTGATGATGTATATATCATTAAATTGGTCAGCTTAAGCACCAATAGGTTCATTACCAAATGAGTCACTACATGAACACGACTTAACTCTTATTAGTTGGAGCAATCTCAGCAAAGTGAGGGTTTTCCTCTTCCAATGGGTATACCTTAGTGTGTAAATATTTCGGTCCCATTGCTCTTGTAAATGCATCATCTATTTCAATAATAAGGATAATTTTTAAACACAGCACTCTTATATTTAGAATAATTCAAATTTGGCAATGCAAGAATTTGTATTTCAAGTCTTTGCTTCAGTTAATATTAAAAAGACGCCTTATTGTTAATGCACATCTCTGCCTTGCAAGTAAAATCGATATATGTTATCATATATTTAGAATATGAATGGAAGCATTGATTACGTCTGCAATATTAAAAGTTATTTATACTATACTATGTCAGAATGTATTTTTAATAAGTTGTAAAGAATTTAGTGAATGTTTCCAGTGGCAACTTCTGAAGAGCAAAATGTCTGCATGGAGAGAAAGGCAAATTGGAAAAAGAGTAATGGCATATTTTGTTTGAAAGTACAGTATATGATTATGGCTTAAGTGTATGGTGTTAGTTTAAGTGTATGACTATGGCTTACATGGAAATGCCATGAAGATGTTGTCAAAAGAATGTGCATAATTAAAAGCAATAATAATGAGTGGGAGGAGGAAATAATAATTAATGGGGGGGGGGAGGAAGAAATATATAATGATTGGGGGAAGAAAAGAATAATGAATGAGTGGTAGTAGTACTGTATTGTATTTATTAAATACCATTTATACATAACCTTTAATTGGTAAAGGGTTGTATAATTCTTGAGTGAGTTACTCAAGGTAACTCTTGAGTTAAATTTTTATCTCACCCATGCTAATCAAATCTCATGCATCCAGCGCCTCACTGACAAATCGCAATACAGAGAGAGAGAGAGAGAGAGAGAGTCAGTCAGTCAGTCAGTCCAGTGAGTTCAGTGAGTGAGTGTGTGTGTGTATTGTGATTTATAAATGGGATCTTGGGTTCGATTCCCAACCAGAACAGAAATGGTTTCCTCTCGTCTCACTCCACTGTTCACCTAGCAGTAAATTGATACCTTGGAGTTAGGCAACTGTTGTGGGGGTTGCATTCTGAGGAGGTCAGTAGTTCGACCTTGGGAGACCTTGATACAAGCCTAAAGTATATACTGTACTGTTATACACACAGGCTTTCTGTCCAAGACAAAATGAGTTATTAAACATTTTACCTAATGATACCTATTTTAACATATGTAGGCATTATTGTATATACAAGAAAATAATTAGAGTTTCCCTGGTAGCTGAAGAAGAGTAATGCAAGATCTCATACTTTCTACTCTTAAAATCAGGCATGAAAGCAGGCTAAATTACACTTGGAATTATTCCAATTTGCCTATTGAGACGAAAACTAAATTGGTAAAGGATATATAATCTAAATAGTTTTCATGTTATTTCACGCTGGGATTCACCAAATGATGTGTGGTAAATGGTAACGATCCCCAAGCCTATACAGGTGTGCCACGAACGACGCTGGGAGTACAGTGGTCTGTGTTCTCGACTCGCATCCAAGGGACTCGGGATCGATCCCCAGGCGGGGCAGAAATGGTTGGGCACAGTTTCGTTCACCTAGAAAGTTTCTCTGTTCACCTAGCAGGAAATAGATACATTGGAGTTAGACAACTGTTGTGGTTACATCCTGGGAGAGGTCCAGCAAATTGACAAACTATCAGGACACTGATTTCAAAGGCAAGTTTGAAGAAAATTGTGGACAGCGTCTATCTTGTCATGGGTACTTCCCATGAAGAGTAGATTACCAGTAGCAGAATCTGTCTTAAGCCAAACACTGGCAGTTAATGCGAGGGAGCTTAAGAGAGGCAGTGCTCTGCTGTGGTAGAACACGACCACCAGACGCCATGAGCCATAATATATTCCTATGCATGCTTGAGAAAAAACTTGAATTTGTAAAAAATTGCTTAGAGTTTGTGCCCACACATATGCCTGCGGTAAATTTCCACCACTAAATGATTAATTGACTGGGATCCACATGCCTAGAATAAAGGAGCTGCCTACTATTATTTAGGAATGGCTTCTTGAAGTAGAGGCCCAAGAAGCAAGCAAGAAATGGTATAGTACAGCTATAAGGAAGAGAGAATTATATGACCTTGAAGACATGATCCAAGCCTTGAAAACTATAGTGACATTAAAAATGGCAGTCTTATGCTTATCTAGCAACTTGGGAACTGCTTAACTTTTCTCACACCGTTAATTATATACAACATCTCTCTCTATGTATACAAGTATTTAAACAACCTAATATATTAGCCAATCACAAATAACAGAAAAGAGAATTAAGATTCATCTTAATGATTCATGATTAAGATTCAACATCCACTTAAGATTCAAAATGAACTTTGCACTCCTACCATCTCCTCCACTAGATCCAAATATGTTGTCATATTTGGAACACTTGAGCCTTTCAAAATACCCCTAGACATTTGTTGTTCAAACACAAATTCATACAACACTTTACATCACAGTGCAATTAGAATGTAAGTGCAACAGATTCCCAAGGATCTGGGGAAAAAGCCAAGACACATATATCACTGTGCATATGAAGATTTATCAACTTATTACTGTAATCATTTAATGCACACCACGCTACTGTACAGTATAGGATTTGCTTTGTTTAGCATCAAAACTGCAGTATCAGGGCAGTGGTAGATATGCCACTTTCTGATATTTTTATTATTGAGTATAAAAAAAAATATTTTCTGACACACAGAGTGAGCACTCTGAAGCCCAGTACCCTAACAAGGAGAAGTTTGAAAGCTGTCTAGACTGCCTGCAACACTCCAAAAAAATACTGAAATGTCGTTTAATTTGTATTAGTATAGTATAGATAGTTAGATTGAAATCCCACCCAGTACTGTATTAAAGGGAGGCAGTAGACTGTACTATTCTTCCTGAGTAAATATAGTCCTCTTACGATAGAAGACCATAATAACTAAATATTGATTGCTTCTGGAGTTTTACATGGCAAAACTTATGGTCAATTTTTTTCCTCTTAATAAAGCAACCCTTTACCAACACAATGGAAAGGCAGAGGCCTGCACTAGACTAAGTATGTAGTCTGTGTCAATATGTATGGAGCACAAGAGATCACTATTGGTAAAGCTTCAATAGAAATCAAAAGACTGGTGTTGGAATATATGTTGGCTGCAAGAATCTCGGGACTCTGCTCCAACAACCCCTAACACAGTGCCCATACCTTGTCTGCAGTGAATAGTGCTACAAATCATTCAGTTTAATCTCTTGGCGTTCCTGACACTATCCCGGACTGACCCTCCAAATGCTAGGTAGCAGTATATGTTTCTGTGGTACATTAAAGATATTGTAATGGATTCTGTAGCTTGTAACTCCTCACTTTCAACAAGATTAGATACTATCAGATCATGTAGTATCATTTTTACCTCCCCCCCTCCCCTACTGCTCTAGTGACATTAACTAGCCCTACAACTGTCCAATAGGTGATCCTACTCGCAATCCGATGAAAGCTGCCTAAGCTGCCAGGATGGGAGCTCTGCAGAATCTGTTGTACCTGATGTCTGTGAGTGTTACCTATATGTCTCCAATTCTCGGCAATACTATGCCGATAATTTCTCCTAAGTGAACCCCAATCAATATATCTGAAGATGTTACCTCCATGAATTCAGAATGTTACAGCAGTACTCAGATAGGGAAGATTTCCATTTCTAATTGCTAGTTAATTAATAATACTTATAAGTGAGATTCCAAGCTCAGAACATGTTTTCATGGACTATCTTACCACATATTCCTATTTGAATGTAGAAAGGTAATAATACACAACATGGAAATTTAATATATACTGTACTGTACTGTATACTGTCATAATAATAATAATAATAATAATTATAATAATAAAAAGAACAAAATATAACACAGCCTGGAAAATAAATAGTCTTTTAAACTGGGATATATATTAATATAAGTGGAAGAATCATAGCACGTAATCCAAGCATTTAAATACTCTGAAATAACATTTTACAAGTACTTTGTCAAACTGGAACAAGAAATAAATATAATTTGCTAAAATTTATAGCAACAAATGTCATATAAAATATCAGAGTAGCACAGGAGACAAAATGAATAAGCATATTCCACTGCTGGGCAGAAAATTGTCAAATGCAGTTTAATGTTATTTAATGCAAATTTATTAACCTGGGGGAAAATATTCCATATCAATAAAGCACTCATAGGTAGATCAAATTGTAAGAGAAACTTAGGAGTCATGGTTAGCAGTGACCTCAGGACGAGACAGCAATGCATCAATGCTTGAAATGAAGCTAACAGGGGTGCCAAGATACAGTATATAATAAGCATCAACAACAAAAACATAAATGTCATCCTTCAGCTATGTCTAGCACTGGTGAAGCTCAACTTATATTACATAGTGCAGTTCTGGTCATCATACTACATAATTAACATTCTGCAATAAGGTGTCTCTTGAGAGAAGAGTCTCTTGAGAGAAGTACCGAAAAGAATAACAAGACTGATACCTGATATTGGAGACAGTTCCAAAGAAGATTCAGTAGTTCGAAGTCTCAGTCTGCATTCACTAAAGAAACAGAACGAGGGGGAAGGGGATATGATCAAGTTTTTCAAGTGGATTAGGGGTATGAACAAAGATTATACTGTATAAACAGGGTTCTGAAACTTTTTAGAACAGGCCTGAACCTGCAACACTGGAAACAAGCTGGATCAATTTCTAT